GCCTCGCCCCCGCGACCATCCGCAGGCAAGTGGCGGCCTTGTCCACCCTCCTCACCTGCACGGATTCGGTTCCCTTAGCTCACCACCCCAGGATCCGCGCCTTTATCAAGGGCGCCTATAACACCAGACCTCCAGTAATTCACAGGTACCCGTCCTGGGAACTACCGCGAGTCCTTCACGCACTCACTCGGTCACCATTTGAACCATTGGCGACCGTTTCCTTGCGACACCTGTCGCTAAAGGTGGCGTTCCTGATTGCCATCACATCGGCCAGACGAATTTCGGAACTGGCCGCACTGTCAGTCAGAAACGACCTATGCATTTTCCACAAGGACAGGGTGGTCCTTAGGTTAGATCCTGCCTTCATACCGAAGGTGAATTCACTCTTTCACAGGACACAGGAAGTAATTCTCCCAAACTTCTGTCCAAATCCAACACATGACCGGGAGCGGCAGTGGCATACATTGGACGTCCGCAGAGCCTTTCGGCGTTATATAAAGCATACAGAACCCTTCCGCAAATCGGAGGCCCTATTTGTGTCCTTCCAAGCGGGCATGTTGGGGCGGAAAGTTTCCGCGGGCACCATTGGAAGGTGGATCCGAAGCTGTATCGCAGAAGCTTACAATGTATCATCCCTGCCGCCCCCAAGTCATCTCACGGCCCATTCCACCCGAAGCGCTGCAACTTCGGCGGCATGGGCTACCCAGGCGTCAATCGAGGAAGTTTGCAGGGCCGCGACATGGTCCTCGCCTTCCCCGTTTATACGACACTACAAGATAGACCGCTTTGCATCGGCGGACGCCTCCTTTGGTAGGAGGGTCCTCCAGCAAGTTGTCTCAGAGATCAATCTACCGGCCTTATCTGTTTCCCACCCCTTGGGACAGTGAGGCTTTGGTACGTCCCATCCGTGGATTATCCATCTCCTGTACTGGAGAAGGGGCGTTGGTCTTACCTGAACGCCTTTTCTCAGTACGGAGATGGATAATCCACACCCACCCCAAGGCCAGCAGGCCGCTAGTAGGGAGCTGAGAGCCAATACCTCGTCAATCATCAGCCAATTCGCCCTCGTTAAGAATGGACTCCACAGGAAGTGGGGGCGTGTCAAGCTTTGGCTACTTGGTCTCAAGAGCAGGCAGACAGAGAAAACCCATCCGTGGATTATCCATCTCTGTACTGAGAAAAGGCGTTCAGGTAAGACCAACGCCCCTTCCTAAATGATGATTCTATGTCTTGCCTATAATAGAAGCTGTACCCATTATATATATTCCAAATCCAATCACTTGGGTCAACCAGATTCATCAGATTCCTATTAATTCCCAGATAAGGCAAACAAATATGGTCTGTTCTTCCAGGCTTGCAGTGTGATTAGGCCAGTATTTAAGGTCTTGAGCAGGGGTGTGTCAAACTTAATTTCATTGAGGGCCACATCAGTATTGCGGTTGTCCTCAGGGGAGTGGGTAGGTGTGGCCAGGGTGGGCACGGCCTACTGGGTGGGTATGGCTGGAGTGGGTGTGGCCTACTGGGTGGGCATGGGCAGCTCTACATCATTCACTTCAAGAGTGCCTGTGGGGGCCTAGGCAGGAGTGGGACAGATCTGAGTGTCTCTGGCAGAATGGGGTGGGACCAGGGCAAGCGCCAAGGCATGGTCCACTGGAAGAGCCTGCCGAAGCCCCTCCCCCGGAGCCCATCAAGCAGGATATGTGAAGTAGGCGAGGGCCATTTGCTGGCCACTTCCAGGCGATGGTGCATTTTTTCATTCCTCACAAAGAGTGACACCTCCCCAGCGCGCACCCAGGGGGCGGGGCCAGTGCACCAGGGGCTGGTCCCTTGCTGTTTCCAGACGGCCTTGTGGAGCTAAAACTGAATGTGTTTCAGCATAGATGGCCACCACAAAATTGTACATTGGCTCCCAGGTGGCCAGGGCCGGGGCCAAAGCAGTGGTGTCCATTCCCTCACTGTTTTCAGGATGGCTTCGCGGGCCACATGAAACCATGTTGCGGGCCGCATCTGGCCCCCATGCCTTGTGTTGACATGTGTGGTCTTGAGGATTAGAAAAGAATGTAAGTACTAAGAATATAAGCACTGGGTATTATCAAAATAGGAGCGTGTCAAAGTTAATGATATGGTGTACTATTGATCAATGGCCTATTAAGGTGAACAGTCTATGCAGATACAAGATTTGTAGGATGTAATGATTAAATTAGACTGTAATCTTGAAATACCCTGTATATATATTGTAATTTGTTAGCCAATTGATATGCTACGATTGTATCCACAGTATATCTGTAAATCAGTAAATTAGGGAATGCTGAATTAGAACATAAACCTCTATTCTGATGCATTCATTGTGAGAATTGCATGTAATCTGAGGATGAAATTTCAGGCTTTCCTAAGTAACTTTTTAAAAATTAAACTCCAACATTTTTCAACTGGTATCCAATGCAAAATGCATATTTACAATTAATTTGCTTCTGCACACTGTGACCAGAGAGATCAGAGCCAAACCATTCTCATTTTTTAAAAAATAAAAGTTAATCCTGTTAATTCCAAAATACATTTCATCATAATTTCAAATATTTTGTTTTTGCTATTGTTAAAGAACTGGGCATTTTTGGGTGCCATTGTATCTCTGGCTTACAAAAATCACATAAAAGTGGATTGCAGAGGGAAATTAGTTTTAACTGGACAAATGTTTTCAGTAAAGCACTAACAAATCAGCTGAAAACAAGTAGAGTCTGCTGACTTTTATTCATTTGCTAGAAAAAAAATTGCTAAGGTGTGCTTTTACTAGCTCAAATGCTATAAACTAGCAAACCCAAGGGAAGTAACCTCTAAGAAACTACATAACAAAATTCTGTCATATTTTTTGGCAAAAAAGAGCTATTCCTTATTTTTCAAGCATAGGCTAGGACAGGACAGGACAGGACAGAATAGAGGTGGAAGTCTTCTAGTCCAGCCCCCTGCTCAAGCAGGAGAACAAGTGACTGTCTAGTCTCTTCTTAAAAATCTCCAGTGATGGGGCGCCCATGATTTCTGAAGTCAAGCTGTTCCACTGGTTAAATTGTCCTCACTGTTAGGAAGTTTCTCCTTAATTCCAGGTTGCTTCTCTTTTTGAAAAGTCTCCAACCATTGTTTCTTGTCTTGCCCTCAGGTGCTTTGGAGAATAGTTTAACCCCCTCTTCTTTGTGGCAGCCCCTCAAATACTGGAATACTGCTATCATGTCACCCCTGTTTCTTCTTTTCTTTAGACTAGCCAAAACCCAAGTCCTGCAACTGTTCTTCATATGTTTTAGTCTCCAGGCCTTTGATCATTTTAGTTGCTCTTCTCTGAATTTTTTCCAAGGTCTTTTTTGTAATATGGTGACCAAAATTGGTTGCAATATTCTAGGTGTGGTCTTATTAGGGTTTTATAAAGTGGCACTAATACCTCGCATGATCTTGATTCTATGCCTCTGTTTATACAACTCAGGATTGTATTAGCTTTTTTGGCTGCTGCTGCACACTGCTGGCTCATAGTCAAGTGATCGTCTACTAGAACTCGAAGGTCCCTCTCACAGTTGCTGTTTTTGAGCCAGGTCTCGCCTAATCTGTACTTAAATCCTTGATTTTTCCTCCCTAAATGTATTATATTACTAGAGTTATATTACTATTTCCTCCCTTCCCCCAATTTTGAGTCAGCAGAAGGATATACTGGTATGAATTTTGCTTGCCTTTCTTGGCTCTGGTTCAATTCATTGCTGCTATAAGGTGATGTATAACAAAACATTATAGACTGTACACATCTCAAAGATGTCTTTGGATGGTACCATCTTAAGAGGGAAATCAAAATACATCTAAGGAAGATTTACTATAAGCCCGTTTTACCCATGGACTGGAGATAAGATGAAGGCAAGGACATGGGGACATACAGGGAAAAAAAAAACTTCCTGTCTGCTTTGCAGTAGGGGGAGAGCCCACAGAAAATCTGAACTAACCAGAACATTTTTTTAATATACTATCTATACATTTTCTAAACTGAAGCTCTCTTTAATGATGTGTGTTATGGCACCAAGATCGGCCTTTGCTTTAAAAGAAAGAAATGCCCTCTCTTTTTATGCTGATCCAAGACAGTGTGTTAACTTAGCATGTAGTTTGCTGCTGTATTTATTGCCCAACTGTTTTGAATAATCCTGAGCCTAACCTCTAAAGCTAGCATATTTGAATGCCTTAGTATGAAAACCCCATGTATGCTTGACTAGGAATATGTGATTGTTTCCCTATATGGTCTGGAAAGGCTAGATTTCACAAACTATATAATTAGTAGTGTTTTGGTCCTCTTACAATTCTCAGTATAAGAAGAAACAAGAAATAGCAGTCAACATTTTTTACTTGACTAAAGTGTATTTTACTAATTTAAAAAATACAAATTTTACCTAATCTGAATACCTAAATAGTTTATAGTAATATCTAATGGTAAATTTCACGTGATCTGAAACAGATGATTAGTTAGGGTTAATATTAATACTTAATATTCCTGTGCAGTATTCAATTGACCATTTATATTGAGCTGACTCCATTGTCATCACAATAAAGTTGATTTACTATTATTTATTTATTAATTTTACATGACTGTCCATGTAAATAATATAATTGAATTTATCATTTACCTTGTAGAACTGCCTACTTTGTTAAAAATTCAGTTTACCACCCAAGTTATTGCATTCTTTAAGAATGGATATTATTAATGTATGAACAATAACTGTTTTTTTAAAACCAAACAATTGAATTTCATATGGATGATTCTATTATCACTGGAAATATTCTGGTGAAAACACTTACCATTCTGGCTCCCCATATGGTCAATATCTTTTTTAGATTTGTGTAGAAGACAATAACCTTATAAAAAGCAATGGACAGCTTAATTGCAATGTACCATTTCTTTTAGATACTTTTTTTAAATAATAGATACTTTTAAACTTTGTTTAAAAGGTGCTAATTAAAATCATGTGGTTGGCATACAGGTTTCATGGACAAATAAAATGATATATCAGATGGACAGACAGATAGCAGAAAGAGAGATACTGGGAAAATATGGCTCAGACTGAAGTACTTTCTTACAGGACCCTGCTGAATTGTAGGTATTCTGAAATAATCAGGCTTTTGATGAAAATATACATGGAACTCAACAAATTTTTACATATAAAGGTCAGTTCAGATGTTGCAGCAAAAACTATTGAAAATACATGATGAGCTTACATATATTTTGTCTTGAGAGGACTCTTTCTTTCTCTATTCCTTGGCTATCTTTGTTTAATGTTAAATCAAAGTTCAGAAAACCACTTCAACTGCAGGGTATGAACAATCTTATTCAGAGATGCAATGGATTGTAAGTAATCATAGAACACATTTGGTATGGTACTGTGATATGAATCAAGATGTAGAAAAGATAATGACTGCAAATTAAATATGAGCATGAAACAGGTGTCTTGATAAACATTGGGCATTTGAATTGTTTAATTTATCTAAACCTAAATCTAAATCAGTTTATACACCATAAATTGTTCATTTATTGGACAAATTGGATCTAGATGTTCTTACTCAAAGTGTATTTTTGTTTCAGTTGTAGTACCATATTTCACTACTCTGATTATAATTTAAAGTGAATTGTGTGGACAGAAATCAAAGCATGTTAAGCAGATGTTGGCAAGGTTTTATGTTGGCAGTGTTTTATAGCTATATTCAACTTAACTAAGTTGAAATCAGTAAGATTTACTTTTGATAGAAATATATAAAGACAGCATAGGTCTATACTAAATAGTCATGTATGCAAATTTTTATTTGGTTAAATATATATATATTTAATATATGTAATACATTGAATAATAGACGAAGAAATCATTTTATTGCATTAACAAAATATGCAAATTAGATTATAGATTAAAATTCTAGTCAAAGACAATTTGCTTATTTTTTTTTTCATTCAACGAGTAAGATTTTATTTAGACTTCGTTTTAATATGTATCTGGATACGTTTGCTAGCTGCATCTCTGTTATTTTCCTTTGAAACAAATTAGTTTCAATTCCTGCAGAGAAGATTCAGATACTCCTACTGAAGTCTTCAGTGTCCTGCTCAATGTTCCATATCACAGAGTTTATTTTCATTTCAACAATAAAGAAAGGTGAAAGAATTAGAAAAATTGTGAACTAAATTTTCCTTCAGATGTGATAGACAGCCAGTCCAGTTTGGAGTAAATATAACTTCACAAAAAAAAAATGAATTCTGAAGAATGATAACTTGCAGAAATACTGAAATACTAAATACTGAAATAAATACATTTATTTATTTCTGTTGATCCTCCTGTGTTCCAGTAATTTCATTACAAAGATTTTTTATAAAAGTTTTTAATTTTAGAACTATTTATCTCTATTACTGAAGTGTTGAAGAAGAGTTAGCTTCTTCCAGTTCTGATGTCAGATAGATCAGTTAAAAGGATAGATCATTTAAGAAGTTCTGAAGCTTTATTTTGATTAGAGGCAACTAGCCTCATCCTCTATGTCTCAGAGTTCTATTGCATCTGCTAAAGACTGGAATACAGTTTGAGTTTTAAACTATAATTTATATAATGCTGCTCAGATATTTTAAAGTGAAATCTATCTGTAAATTTAATTTTTCAAGACAAACATACTCATATTTCATCTTTTCAACTCTACTTTCTTTAGTGGGCTTGTTGGATTTTGTAAATGGTTTTATACATCTATTACAAATGTTTTCCATCAGAATGCCTACAGCATGCAAAAATATTTTTATGTTGGGAATGGTGACAGTCAAAATACCAGTTTTAAGAAGACATTATATTGAAGCTAAAAGATAAGTAACTGGCATAATGATTATAGTAATAAATTAGGGCTAGGGAAGGCCAGATTCATACCTAGTTATAGAGTTTCAATGATATCTTGAATAGTATTATTTCCCAACCCAACATATCTTACCAGATTATTCCTAAAAAAAACAAAAAAAAAACCCCAGTGGAAATACTATGTACGTTATTCTTGGAATCCTGAAGGAAAATGGTTTATACATCTACAAATAAGGTTCCAGATATAAAGACAGTTGCTGAGCTTCAGAATACAAAATAGTTTTTAACTTTTTTATTTATTTATTCTATCAGATTCTTTTCCATTATTCCAAAATATAGATATGGAATATTTTGAGAAATTAAGGGGTTTTTCCTCCCAAAAGATAACTGATCTTTTGAGGAACATGAGCAGAATCTTTCATTAAATATTTTGTCTGAGATGATTTGTACAATAAAATTTTATTTAATATATATTATGAAAATATTTAAGTCACTGTATAGCAGGGGTGCCAAACTACTGGCCCGTGGGCCAGACGTATCATGAGGAAACCGTGCCTACCCCATTGCCGACAGTGGGGAAAAAGTTCTGATATGTCGCACGATGTCATGTGATGTAGCAAGTTTGACATGTCTACTGTATAGTATCACAAAATTGTAAGTCTTCAACAAAATGGGCATTACCCAAACTCAGTTTTATAATGATATTGAAAATCTTCCTATAATAATGCAAACCAATTGCTAATTGAGACAGAGATAAATTACATAAATAAACTAAATTTATGCTTAATATCTGCCTGGTATGGATTTGTTTCCAGTTTTGCTTATATAAAATAATTCACCTATCTAGTTTAGTTTGGAACTCTTGTATATCTGCTCCCTTGGTACATCCCCAACTTTCAGGTCTCTTCATTTTATTTCCCATAGCCCTTAGACTTATAAAGAGACACAAATGCATGCACACAATTTCTCTACTTCCCCATTTCTCCCTTTGCTTTGATAAAGTCTAATATGGCTAAAGCTAGAAGAGATTGCAATAGCCTCTAGTTGAGTCATTCTCTTCTTTCTATAATGGAAGATTACTTGGTATTAAGAGAATTAGTTAGAATTTGAAAGGTGAAGAGTGATTTATTTGGCAGTTCTTACTCTGCTTTCCAGCTCCCCTAAATTTTAAAAAAGCATACCTTAAAGTATATGTTAAAATATTAAAAATTAGAACTCCTTTATATTGTGCCAAGAGAGTTCACCAATATTATGATATACATGAATCCTGTATTACTGTTCCTAAATAATTGAAAAAAATATTGTGCTAATTGATTCTTTGCTTTCATACCAATTGAAACTCTTGTTAGCATTTATATTTATACTACAAAAACTTTTAGTATTAAAACTAAAATTAAATTAATTAAAACTTGTGTTCTGTTATATTTAGAATTATCTTTTCCTCCTTTCCCCTCTCCCCCTCTCTTGCAGTGATGGGTCAGGAAGCTGGAAAACCCACATGGCCAAAACCAGCAGGAGGCTATCAAACTATTACAGGGAGAAGATATGGAAGAAGACATGCCTATGTCAGTTTTAGACCATCTCTGATGAATCAAGAAAGATACTCAAACCAACACACAGAAGAATGTGAAGGATTAGAACTAGACAGTGTTCTAAAAGAAAATTTATTGTGTGTGTGTCACATAATTACAAATTATTATTATTTGATTCAGAGAAAACTTTCTACTTTGGGCAAACATTGCATAAAAGTTGTGAACTTAATATAATTTGAATATATCATATTGATCTTTTTATCTATATAATATATCAGGACCTAATTTGAATAAGATATAGTTATTATGTTGTAATCCAAGTCTGCCCCCAGGTTTGCATTATTTATTTTTAAATCAGCCTGACTTATATAAAAATAGATGGTAAAAGTAGGTCATCAGTGCTCATTTTCTTTATTATACATTCAAAGATCATATCTTTGAATATCTTTTAATATTTTGGGGTTATAGTTATGCTATTATCTACCATACTTGTAATTTCTAATTCATTATTATTTTCAGGTTTGCTTTAATTGGAATAGTTTATGTTAGTTTGCCTTTCAACATTGTTAACATTATATGATTGGTTCTTTCTATGTTGAATATTGTTCCAGCTATCAAATCTCTGTAATTGGTTTTGCTAAACCTTCTTGTATTTTAAATATTCTAAGAACTATTAGAGGTTTTCTTCAATCAAATTATACCAAATAATATCCCTCAATTGTACTATTGCAGCCATAGAGGCAATATTACGTAAGATGCCATAGTATTTATTTAACACATTTACATAATATTACTTTACCAAAATTGACTCACAACACATACAATGTGAATTACAATAAACGATATGTGTACCATTAGAATAGTAATCATAAGTGAACATCAATAACTAAATATCTCAAACTCCATCATAATGTTTTTTATTAAATGAGAAACATTAAAGGGGAAGTTTGGTGAAGGGAAAGAGGAAGCAAATCTAGAATCAAATTAAATCAGTCAAAGAAACATCTGTTCACAAAGTAGTGACACTACTTGAGCCATGTTAAATGAAATACTATATATTTGGGGTGATTCTGTTTAATATTAATGATAAAATACCCCATTCTTGATCTATAAGAAAATAATTTCTTTTTATTAGTGACAGTTGCATAGGATTTTCAGAACAAGATTATTCTTAATGAAGGTAGCAAATTAATACTGTATAATGATTTGGAAGTATTATGTGGCATGCTAGTATTAATTATATAATTGTTTAAATACATAGTCTGATTTAAGCCATAGAAACAAGTCAAAATGCTGGTTTATTATGAATAATCAAGCATGGCAGTGCATGCTGTTTTGTTGCTAGCATCTGCTCTTTATGCCTCTTTTTGGTTTTAAAAAAAGAACCTTTATCCTTATTTATTGATTTGTTTACCACCCATCTTGCCTCAAGGCAACTCTATTTAATTTCTTTAGTACTGCGTCTGTTCCTAAGAAGCTAAAAACAGTCAATCTTTGTTTTACAATTCTAATATAGTTTGTTGAGCAAGTTAACAAGCTGAACATTCCTGTTTTTATGTATCCCTGAACAAAATGGAGGGAAGATTCCTGATTTAGTTAGTAACTTTTGCTATATGTCTAATGGGAACAGTGGAGCTGTATCCATCAATGTGTTTGATTATTCACAACAAACCCAAAGTTTTTAAAATTATTTTTCTATTGGAATCATGCTAATAAATGTCATATTAGTAACTTTATTGGTATAGTATTGAAAGGTGAGGTAGAATTACAAATTATTACAAATAGATTTTCTTCTGAAAATGAGAAATACCTTAGTTATTTTGATACCTAGTGTTCCTAACCACTTTTTCTAAACGATTTACTGTATATTGATACATCTTTAATTACTGATTTTATCATATCTCTTTTACTATATAATCCAATAACTGGTCTTATCCTTCCAATGTATCTTTTTTATAATTCTATATAAAGGTTCCAGTCCACATGTCCAAGTATGTTCTCCATCATTATTACCAAATGTTGGATCAGAAGAACCTGTTTGTGAAGCTGATTCTAGCCAAGCTATCAGCACAGATACTTCAATGTTTTCTCCAACATGCTACAGTTTGTGTGATCTCCAAAATGTTGCCAACAATGAGAATTCTAATGACAATGTGGAGTCTACTTCTGAAGAGTGTAACAATCTTCATGGCCAGAATGGAATTGCCTTTGTAAACATTGACTCTTATGAACCAGACAGCAGTGATGGAGAGGAAGACGGTTTCCAAAGTGCTATCTCATTAGCTAAAGAAGAAACAGGACTATTTCAAGAAAAACTGGACAATATGCTTTCCAAGTTAGAAAAAGATATGGACTCCTTCAGTGATTTGCAGTCACACCTGCCTAGTTTCAGTTATAATACCATAAATAAAAGTTTCGAAGATCTTAGATTAGTGCCTTTTAGGAGACTTTCTAGCATAGAATCAGATACTGTTTATCAAAATAAGTCACTTTTGAAAATATCTAATGAAGAAACTTTAGCAAAAAGTAAACTTGTTTCTACTTATGATTTAGAACAGAAAAACAGTAGTACAGCTGAGCCTACAATTAGGACACATGTAGGAATTTGTAATGCACTGAGTACTACAAGCATGAAGGTGGACCAAGAGAATTCAGCTGAATTGGTAGTAAGACCCAAAGTTAGAAAACAGAATCCTATTAGTGAGATTGATAAAAAACAGTCTGTAATTAATGAAGAGGAAGAAAAGAGAAATACTAAAATGTGGAATGATAATGTAGATGACCAGCAATACAATGCTGAAATTATCTCAAAGCATAATAAAGAAAAAAAATCTAATATGGTTTTTGACCCCAAAGAGTATGGATTGGCTGAAAATAAAATAAAAAATGAACCAAGGAAACAAAATACAAGTCTTCAAGAAAAAAATAAAATAGATGATAATGCTTTTTGGGATGAATTTGAAGATTGTGGTAGAAAACTATCTAGTTCCAACAAAGATGAAGATGACAGGTAAGTTTTTTAAGAAGTTTAATTTTACATTTTCCAGATATTTGAATATTTTTGGTTAATATGCATAGTAAAATGACCCCCCCCCCCAAATCCTCAACACTGCAGTGTTAAAATTCCTTTTCAGATATCACAGTGCTACTTAGTATTTCTTCCAGATGTCTGTTGTACTTAACAGGTAGGTGGATCAGGCAATGTACATTTAAATAACACAATCCATTTAGTTTCAGCTAAATGTATTCATTTAATTTTCTCTATCAATAAACAAGCAAATAAATGTTTTGAGAAACTATACAAAAATGTGGTTTGCCGTACTTTTGCTTTTGGAAGTAAATTTATTCTACCAAGAAGAATACTTTGGTGACTTCTATAACAACATTGCTTGGATCCCAAATCATCTTACCAGAATAGAAAAACACGCAAATGTGCTCAGAAGAATCCCACCAAACTCCCTACAATCTTATGTCCCTGTCCAAGCCAATGTGACTAGTGTTTAAGTTTATAGCCAATCCATTAGTCTTTTGAAGTGATTTTTTAGGGAACAAGTAAGAAAATGACTGTTACATAAAAATTCTCAATGATCTCTGAATCAAACATTAACAATGAAATACTGTAGCGTAAATATACTTAATTTTTTCTTCAGTAGTACTGTCTACACATCCTAAGAGTATTAAAAATTTTATAAGATATTATTGGCATCTGATAGAAAGTTGCCCATTGTGCAGTACTGTGTCTGTCATTAGTTTAAAAATACAGAGCAACGAAGAACTGAAAAGTATGAGACATGATTAAATGCATAGGTAATATCCGATTTCATACAATCAAATTCTCAGACCTTCAAAAGTTGGTCCAAAGGGTTGGGAAACCCTCCAGAACAAGTACAAGGTAAATAATTACCACCCCTTCATTTAATTAGTTATATGCTTCAAGACTTTCTATTGTGTTCTATTTGTTTTGAACTGCACAAATGCAGTGTTAATGCATTTCTTAGGTTTGATTAAGCTGAAGATTATACAGAACTGTACAACCTGTTCACATATGGTTACAGTGGCACTAATATGTTCAAACTAAAAGATTCCATCTGCCAAAACTACTTCTGAAACTTAAGTTGTAGGGAAGGTTCATCTTAGATAATCACTATTAAAGGATTACAATATTTCCTGATAAATTGGGAGGATTTTTTCCGGTGAATGAAATAGTTAAGAGCTTAGCAATATTTTCCTGAATATTTAAATGCATTTCATTATTTTTCACTATATCTCTGTTAAATATGATCTGTCAGAAATGTTCCTCCTTTAAATCTGTGTTGAAGAACTGAGAAATGCTCAGTTTGCTTTGTACCTTGAACCTGGCTTCCCAAATATATATAATGTTTTCTGAGGTTTTCGTGGGTGTTTTATGTAGGTCTTTGGTTGTTCGGGTTTTCTCCCGCGTAAAATTACCCACAGAATAATATCCACCATCCTTAGAAACCCCAAAGATAAAATTGAATTAGAAAATCAAGGAGTATACGAAATCCCATGCACCACTTGTCCCACCACATACATCGGACAAACCAACAGAAGAATAAGTGCACGCATTGAAGAACATAAGAACTCAGTCAAAAAAGAGGAACCAACATCTTCCCTGGTCCAACACCTTAAAGCCACAGGACATGAAATTGACTTTAAAAATACCAGAACCATTGCCAAAAGTGAACATTTTAATAACAGAATAATCAGAGAAGCCATCGAGATAGAAAAACGCCCACACAGCATGAACAAGCAAGATGATACCTCCTGCCTACCAGCCATTTGGAAACCCGCCCTTATTGACAAACGACTCCCTAACACAAAAAATGATACCAGACCCACACTCACAAAAACCACACAGGATGTCACCACCACACATCCACGCAAAAAGCAAACCCAAAGCCACACCGATGATGAGGCACGACCAGAAGCCAGACCACAGCTGCATCATTAGCCACTTTAAACCCCTCCAATCCATACATGAAGCAAATTGACACGCTCCATGAAGATGAAGCATTACCACGAACGCGAAGCCAAAAAATAGCAAGGCAGCCCAAAATCTTAAAACCCCCTGCAACTCAGACTAACCTGAGCACAACCAAACAGAACACGCCCCCAGCCAATCAGAGCACAGCCAACCCCCCCAGCCAATCAGCACAGCCAACCCCCCAGCCAATCAGAGCACAGCCAAGCCCCTAACCAATCAGAACACACCTCCACCCAATCAGAACACAGCCAAGCTCCCACCCAATCAGTTCATACCCCCACTGGCAGTTAAAAGGAAGAAACAGCTAAGAGCACACATTGCTGCTCGAAGCACGAAGCTGAAAACACCAGCCTGAAGATGACGAATGGGACTTCGTCGAAACGTCGCCAAGACACTTCCAATTTTACGCGGGAGAAAACCCGAACAACCAAAGACCTATATATATATATATATATATATATATATATATATATATATATATATATATTAACCTAAGATTACATTACTCCAACCTTTTTCCCGGATGGGTTAGGAATACCGCAATGTGTACAGTTGGAGTGTCTTGAAGATGAAACATACCTTCAAATAAAGAAAACAAAGACAATTTTGGAAGCCTAAGATGGAGGCTGCGGATTTTTGGAAGTCTCAAACTGATTTAGATTTTTTGTATATACCTAAAGTAAGGGGATAGTAGTTCTCCAGCACAGGAGATGGAGAATCCACCAATGGGTTTACTCTGTCTTTCTGCCCAATCAGATCAAGTCAACCAAACCTGCTACACCTGTCCTGAACTAGGGTGTCCCAATCTCAACTTGATCTTTGCCCAGGGCAGATGTGCATGTTTGGCTCACAGGCAGGTATATCGAGTCCCATTGGTGGATTTTCCATATTATCACTGTCTCCTGAGCAGCGCTGGGATCAGCGCTGCTTCAGCTTGACTGCTAAACACCTGAATTCCCTCTAGACCCAGGCAGAACGGAGGCTTCTGTTCTCCCTTCCTTCCCTCAGGCAGCACAGGGCTCAATGCTGTAGCGATTCCCTTCCTCCGCTCCTCATCAGGTCTCCCTTTGTCAGAGCTTGCAGCCGCAGCTTCGATGGCGGCGCGGCGGCTGAATCAGGCATTTTGCACTCACGTGCGGGCCCGATTCTTTTCTCCTTCGTATCAAGACCTGATTCTCTCTTTTGGACTCGGCGACCAACAACGGGGTGGTTGCTTGCTTGCGTCACCGGAATGGCTATTTAGGTAGGCGTGCGGGTCGGTTTTACCCTCCTCTCCGACAGTCGCTCGGGGGATTCTTACTGTTTGATGCGGCCGCCATTTTGCAGACCATGTGGCTACCAATGTTTCTTTGCAGACCATGTGGCTACCGATGGGGAAGGGGATCCTCCTTTCTACTGTTCCCAGCCACCCTGTTCCCTCCAGACTCCTCGCATAGTGGCGTGGGCCAGCTCCCTTCTTCTCAGCATTGGCTTAATACAGCCTTTCTCCATTCAGCGCAGAGGAAATAGACCAGGCCGCAGCCGCCATTTTGAACGGCCTTTATGCTCGTTTTCACTGGCCCGTAGGCCTGTGTATTCAGTGGCTCCCTAGGGTTCTCAAAAGGGTTTCCCCAAAGGTTTTTGGGGTCCCTTCATAGGGGTGTCACATACACTTCTTCCTTTTTATTTTTTCCTTTTTCTGGAGCACATAGTCCATTGGGCCCAATTTAGGCCCCGATCTAGTATCTCCCTACCTGGTCACCACCTGGCGGGCTGTGCATCGGACTGTGGTTACCACACAAGGAATTTTGGTCACCTCCACAGATCTGCCTGCCGCACAAAGCGTGTTGCCAGTTATCACCTTGCTGGCCTGGTAACACCATGCATCCTACGAGCAGGCTGGCTGTCATCACCTCGGTGACTTTGCCACAGCCGTAGACCCGACCGGTCATCGGGAGTACCACCAGTCTGGTGACCAGGGGGGCAGGGCGATCATTATCATCCCTTGCCCTTAACTTTTACTCGCCAATCGATCCACTGCCAGGGGTATCCTTCCGTGCACCTGAGTTTACCTTCACCAGGATGAAGGACAGCACAGCCTCCCAGACTAAGGACACCTTACCTCCTTTCTTGGGCCGGAAACGGCACAGGTCCTCCAACCAGGAGGCCGCAGATAGGATCTTGGACAAGGCCAAGGCTATCTCTAGGAGGAAGACCTCCAAATTGGCAGAGAAACAGGCCAGCAGGAGACACCAGACTATGGAGAAAAGCACAAAAGCAGGCCAAAAGCACAAAAGCAGGCCAGGGCTGAGGCTGAACAAGCTGAGGCTCTTTTCTTTGATTTACCACTGGGTCCCTCTACCTCTGCCCAGGGGGTCTGGTCACCAGGGGCACTTCTCGCTTCTCCCGCTCCGCCTGGACCAGATCAGAACATCCACACCCTTCAATCACTACCTGTACCACGGGTCCAACGCCGGGTTCCAGAGGCAACCTTCACCCCCACGGCTATGGGACTCAGGATAGCTGAGTCTGACACCTTCCCCCCTGAGGATTGCCTTCCAGCTTTAATTGCTCAGGTGGTGGATCGGGCTCTCATGGCCAGGTCATCGCATGTGCCCAGGGCCAATTCAGTGATTTCCCTTCCAATCCCCCAGTCGGCAACTCCGGGATATCACGGGCCTCCCTCCCAGTCCCAATCTTTATACAGCAGGGCCTCATCCCCTCCAGAATATGATCAAGAGTTAGATGCCCCATGGTCGAAGGAGGAGAATTCTCCCCCGGACCCGCCAACATTTGGCAGGCTTTTTAATCCCTCTCTTTTTCTGCCCTTGCTTTGTAAGGCCAGTTCTATGGCACACATTGGCCCTGATCGTGCTACTCCAGCAGCAACAACTGCACCCGACTCAGACGCGGACCCTGTCTTCACCGAACCGGTAGTAATACAACACCACGTATTTTGTCTGCCCCTATTTCTCAATGCGGTCCGGAAACAGTGGGTCACCTCTAGCACTTTTCCTCTCCCTAGTAGAAATGATAAAAAACTCTTCAGCGTTGCTCCAGATTTGGCAGATGCGCTAGAAGTGCCTATGGTGGATGAGCCTTTAGTCTCTCTCCTGTCCTCCACCACAATCTCAGGAGATATATCTGAGGCACTAAAGACAGAAGATCGGAGATGGGAGCTAACATTCTGCAGGACCCACCAGGCAGCGGCGTGGGCTATCAGGGCTGCCACTTCAGCATCCTTTTTTACCAGGTCCTCTCTCCTTTGGCTCCGTCAGCTCCAAGCCAGGATTCCCTCGGAGGATGTTCGTACACATCAGGACCTGAGCAAGCTAGTGGCAGCAATGGAATATGCTTCCGATGCGACTCTACATGCTGTCAGGTTTTCTTCCAGGGGCATGGCATCCAACGTCATGGTACGTCGCATGCTCTGGCTAAAGCACTGGCATGCTGACGCTAAGTCCAAATGGCGCCTGGCAGCGGCCCTGTACCAGGGTGGTAAACTATTCGGGGAAGCCTTAGCCCCGTACCTGACCGAGAACAAGGACTAACGGAGGTACTTACCCATCTCACCAGACAGGCCAACAGATGGGCCAAGCTTTACGCCTGCAGGCAGTCCTTTTGGTCAGGAGCTAGTCCCAGCTATGCACAACCCCCTGCCCCTTCACAGCCAGGCAGGACCGCCCGGCTGACAGGTCGGGTTCTAGGCCCAGGCATCAGTTCCAGGGCAAACGGCCCTTTCGGGGGGACGTCCATTCCGACGGTCTAAGCGACTCTCGGACGGTCCTCCCATAGGGGGCAGGTTGTTCCTCTTTGCTCACCAGTGGGAGGTCACCACCATAGACGCCTGGGTCCTGAACACCATCACAGCCTGTCCCTGGAATTCAATTCCAGTCCACCGGGATGTTTCATTTCTTGCCCTCAATCAAGAAATCCCACAAAGGGGACGCATGCAAGAGGCCGTTCGTCACCTCCTGGACATAAGGGCCATAGAACCGATGCCGGCAGGTCAAAGGGGTCGGGGATTCCACTCCATCCTCTTTGTGGTCCCCAAGGCCTCGGGAGGATGGAGAGCAATCTTACACCTCAAAGGTCTGAATTACCATCTTGCATATCGAAAATTCAAGATGCAAACGCTCCAGTCCATCTTGGGCAGTGTGAGAAGGGGAAACTTCCTGACGTCCATAGACTTCACGGAAGCGTATCTCCACATTCCCATCTCTCTCAACCACCGCTGGTTTCTAAGGTTTAATTATATGGGTCACCATTATCAATACAGGGCACTCCCATTCGGCCTGTCTTCCTTTCCGAGAGTGTTTATCAAGATCCTGGCGGTACTTGCCGCTCACCTGAGAGTGGTGCCGGTCCGTGTCCAATGCTACCTGGATGACATTCTAATCCAGTCGTCGATCCCAGCTGCCTAGTCAGACTTCAGGCTGGTGATAAAAGTCCTCCAGGACCACGGATTCTCAGTAAACTTTCAAAAGAGCCAGACAGTTCCCGCGACCAGGCTATTACACCTAGGGGCCATCATAGACAAGGTAGGATGCCGGGTTTATCTGTCCCAGGAACGTCGGGACAGTATTCGGGAGTTGGTCCTCAAAATATGCAGGGACCAGACAATGACATTGGCCATCCTTTCCCAATTACTAGGGAAGATGATATTGTACATAGTGATTGTTCCCTGGGCCAGATTACATTTCAGGAACCTCCAGTGGTTTCTGCTTCCTTTCCAAAGGCTGGGCACCAGCTCCAGCAGCCGAAGGGTAAGGGTCTCTCCTCAAACCTTGTGATCTCTCAAGTGGTGGCTCTCTCCAGCCATGGCCAGAGGGTCCTCCTTCAAAGAGCCCGTTCGACTCACCATCATGACTGATGCCAGTTTCTTTGGTTGGGGAGCACACCTTCAGTTGCAGTGGGCTGAAGGACGGTGGTCCCGGTCAGACCTGAGGCACAACATCAACTGGTTGGAGCTCAGGGCTATGCACCTGACCTTCTGTCACTTCCGCAACAGGGTTGCGAGGCATCACGTGCTGGTCCTCCACAGACAATGTGGCGGCAAAGGCCCATGTGAACCGGCGGGGGTACCCGATCCTGGACCCTCATGTCTGAGGCCCAATTGTTGGGCTTCTGAGCAGAGACCAACCTTGCCTCCATCAGAGCTGACCACATCTCAGGGGAGGCGAACAGAGAGGCAGACTTCCTGAGCAGGTCGACAGTGGACCACTCAGAATGGCGTCTACACTTGGACCTCTTCAGGGAGATCTCAGACAGGTTTGGCACACCGATTGTAGACCTGTTCACCTCCCTAGCAAACACCCAACTACTGAGGAAATGCTCAGTTTGCTTTGTACCTTGAACCTGGCTTCCCAAATATATATATTAACCTAAGATTACATTACTCCAACCTTTTTCCCAGGTGGGTTAGGAATACCCCAATGTGTACAGTTGGAGTCTCTTGAAGATGAAACATACCTTCAAATAAAGAAAACAAAGAAAATTTTGGAAGCCTAAGATGGAGGCTGTGGATTTTTGGAAGTTTCAAACTGATTTAGATTTTTTGTATATACCTAAAGTAAGGGGATAGTAGATTTGGAATACAAACAAAAATATTCTGAAATTGTGTCTACTATTGTTGTATTTAAATGGGAAGGCTTTGGTTTCATAATTTTAGAAAGTAAAAGTATTTTACAGTAAAAAAATATTGCCTAGATTTGAATGAAAATGAAATTTTCAAGTTTTTTAAAACAAACTTTCATGAAGATCAATGCTATTTTTCTATTCATATTATTATCACATTAGATTTATATCTTTTATTTTGTATATTAAATCTACTTTGTGATATTATTTAACAATTAAGAAAAATAGAAAATAATGGAAGTATTCATAATACATCTTAAAACTGGCAGCATTTCAAGTCTGCTGTTAATAATTCCCTTAGTGCTTACAGACATTGCTGTCCAATATCATTAGGAAAAGGCTTTGGATTTTAAATGTAGTTAGAAAGTGTTGGAATTTTAGAGTAGTTTCCTGTTAGCAAATAGTTCAGAACTGAGACTGCAATGTTGAGAATGTAAAATAGTACAAAGACCATAATTTATATATAAAATTAAAAGCTTTAAAATACTCAGTAACAATAATAGAGTTGGAAGGGACCTTTGAGGTCTTCTAGTCCAACCCCCTGCTCATGCCATTTCAGACAAATGGTTGTTAAGTCTTCTTAAAAACTTCCAGTGTTGGAGCATTTACAACTTCTGGAGGCAGGTTGTTCCACTGATTAATTGTTCTAACTGTCAGGAAATTTCTCCTTAGTTCTAGGTTGCTTCTCTCTTTGATTAGTTTCCATCCATTCCTTCAGGAATTTCTGTTCTGTATCTAGCTCCTTGTGATATGGTTGATAATCTTGATATTTGTAGGAGCAAATTATGTTTAGCAACTTTGATTCTAGAAAGCTACCAACTGCCCATTCATTCATTGTTTATTTATTTACAATTTTTGTTTAAAATTTAGGTGTGTGTAAGAAGAAAAAGAGAACAATATATGAATGTCCAGAACATTGTTTCATCATGTTCTCAACATGTTTATTAGATGTTTATTGCCAGTCCTATATTATTAAATATACATTTTCATATCAGAAATGAGCTTAAAGTAAAGTATTATTTTTCTTTGCATTATGTCAGTTCTAATCTGATGCTGCAGAGGAATCTAAAGTCTAGTATCAGAGAGGAGATTTTTTAATAAAATAGATCTTAATTTTCTTGGTGTTCCTTTCTCAGAACATTCCCATCAGATTATAGATATTTTATTCTATTTTTTAATAGGATGTAAGATTAGGATTTCAGGTTGAAAGAAGCAGTAACTTTTTCTGTTTGGACTCTCCTGGGAAAATTTGTAAGGGATTTCTTTTTTGTAGTATGATTTTAGTAGGAAATTATCTCCTACTCTTATGGACAGAGTCATCCAAACTTGAGCATGTTCATATCCAAAAGGGAAACTAAACTTCTCCATTTTATGGTTAGCTTGATTGAATCATGGCAAATATTAACTCTATCAATCTTTAAGTGCAACTGGACTCTCTCAAATTGCAGCTCAGAATGCAGTGATGGTGAATGGTCTGCATCCGTGCCTTCATATTTTTCTGTGACTGTGAAAGATCAGTCCTCCAGTGATGAAAGCTGGGAGACACTTCCAGGCAAAGAGGAACAGGAACCTGAAGAGCAGAGTGATAGCAGTGGTGTTGAAGAGGAACATAATGAATTTGGTTTCCAATCACGGTATGTCATTCTATTAATGAAGTGCTTTTCCTCCCTACAAAAATCTATGCTATACTGTATGCACTGTATGTAGTCTATACACAACATAGAAAATGCACATAAATGTATATTCATGTATTATACTAAACATGTACGTATAAGTGTTGCTGAGAGAAAAGGAGAAACAGGAAAGGTGGGTGGAAAATAGTCATTAAAAGGAGAGGTGTATGGATTAAAGAATTACATGTGAGGTTTTTTTTGGGGGGGGGGGAGATATACCTGTGTTTGATACAGTTTTGGAATGCTTTTCTGACTTGAGCAAGCTGCTGGTCTTCCTGTCCTTAGCAACTGTGATAGAATCAGAGAATCCTTGAGAGGGAAGAGGGGATAAAATGTAAATTTAAAATAAAACCCCAATAATAAAACAAAAACATAAAAAGAAATAGAATTTTCAAAATATATTTAAACAGGCTAAGCATATAACAATAATAATAATAATAATAATAATAATAATAATAATAATAATAATAATAATAATATAATGGAGAAGATAACAAAATACAAAGACCTACAAATAGAAATAGAAAGACTGTGGCAAAAGCAAGCAAGGGTAGTACCAATAGTCATAGGCTCCTTGGGTGCAATCCCAAAACAACTGGAGCACCACGTGAACACCATTGGCATTGACAAATTCGCTATTAGTCAATTGCAAAAGGCGGCCTTATTAGGAACTGCTTCCCTCCTGCGACGATATCTGTAATACCATCAAACATCCACATCTGCCTATCCCAGGTCCTGGGTAAGGACTCGATAGGTAGACAAAATGCCAAATCCAGTCTGAACATCTGGCTCACTGTGCGATGATCCATAATAATAATAATAATAATAATTGATAAAATTAAACTGCTCTGGGACTTCAGAATTCAAATAGACAAGCACCTGCAACATAATACCCTGGACTTAACAATTGTCGATAAGAAAGACAAAAAAGTCTGGATAGTGGCCGTGGCAGTGCCTGGAGACAGCAGAATAGACGAGAAAGAACTGGAGAAGATAACAAAATACAAAGACTTACAAATAAAAATAGAAAGACTGGCAAAGGCAAGCAAGGGTAGTACCAATAGTAATAGGTGCCTTGGGTGCAATCCCAAAACAATTGGAGCACCACTTGAACACCATTGGCCTTGACAAATTCGCTATTAGTCAATTGCAAAAGGCGGCCTTACTAGGAACTGCTTCCATCCTGCGACGATATCTGTAATACCATCAAACATCCACATCTGCCTATCCCAGATCCTGGATAAGGACTAGATAAGTAGACAAAATGCCAAATCCAGTCTGAACATCTGGCTGACTGTGCGATGATCCATAATAATAATAATAATCCCCCAGTGAGGCACTACCTTGACGTGGTTGTGGGGCTTGTGTACTCTGAGGAAGATGAGAGCTATGCCAGAGGTTCAACCATACTGGACAGGTCTCATCAGAGGAGTCAGACAAAGAGTGTCTCTCCCATACAAAATATGGTGAGACGTAAATTTCAGAATGCCATACCGGCTCGGACGTCGCCCGGGTTAACAAGGTCCGCACTAGATATTGGAGTTCCTGGATATCTGGTGAAAAATGGGTTACAGGACTCAGGACTGTTGGCTGAGCAACCAGGGCCAGCAGCTGCAGAACTACTGGAAGAAAAGGTGTTTACCCGTCGCAGATACACAGTGATGGAAAACAAAGAAATAATGATCTGTTACTACAGATCAAGTCCAACAAGACGAGGATATCTAAAACGAATGCACCAGTTCTGGAAAGAACAACATCCAGAATCAGAAATAACAGAACAGAGACTAGCAGATCAACGCCGATTTATAATACGAAATAAAGTATTTACAGAAACAGAATTGGACGAACTGCAAGAGGTTTACCCAGGGCAAAGAAATCAAAGCCTTACCAGAAGTAATTCAGAATATAGAGGCAAACCAGGGGGAGTTTGCAGTGAAAGAATCCAGTAGAGATATACAACTGTTCTCATTTGGAAACCAGGCACCTCTTCCTCAGGAAGAACAAAACCCTCTAACTAAAGAAATAAAAGAATTGAAACAAAGAATAACTGAGCATCTAGAACAGCACAAAAACAACAGAATAAGGCTGCCTGCATTGAAGCTTGTTCCAAAGAAACAGCTAGCACAAGCATTAAAAGATGCAAATACTGCAATAGCAAGTATAAGCACCAATTCACTGCAAGAAACAAACCAACTAATGTACAGCACAGCTGCAGTTATAACTGAATACCTGGGATGCAAAATCAACAAAGAAGAAAAACAAACAAACAGTGCACCAGAAAAATGGAAGGTTAGACTAGAAAATAAGATCAGCAAGTTAAGATCACATGCAAGCAAGCTAGAACAGATGAAAGAAAAGAAGCTGAAGAACAAGAAGACCAAAGAATACCTAATCAAGAAATACCACTTAGAAACAAGGAAGATCAAGGAAGCACTGGAAATAATAAAGCAACAAATAACAGCTATAGCCAGGAAAATCAGTAGATATGAAGCTCGAATTGCAAACTATAGGCAGAACCTCCAATTTCAATCCAATCAGAAACGTTTCTACCAATCCATCAATGGAGAAACTGCAAGGAATCAGTCAGTACCTGACAAGGAAGAAAACAGTGCAGTTCTGGAAGCAGATATGGGATAACCCAAAGAAATACAACAAGGATGCGGCTTGGTTAAAAGAGGTGGATGCAAATAAAACAGAAGTTGAAATGAAAGAACTAGTAATAACAACAAAAATGGTAGAAAAAAGAGCAAAGAAAATCAAAAAATTGGTCAGCACCAGTGAAGATGAAGATGAACATGCATGGGTTTTGGTTGAAACATCTAACTGTTATACACCCACTCATTGCCAAGCAGTTCAACAATATACTACAAGGAGGAGAAATTGAAAAGTGGCTAACAACTGGGAAAACCTACCTAATAATGAAAAATCCAGCAAAAGGGGCAACACCAGGTAACTACAGGCCAATTACCTGCTTACCAACAACTTTCAAATTACTAACTGGTGTGGTAGCTGATGCAGTACAACAGCATCTAGTTGAAAACAATCTCTTTCCACCTGAGCAGAAAGGAAACCGCCCCAATAGCAGAGGAACAAAAGATCAACTCCTAATAGACAAAATGATCTTGGAAAACTGCAAGAGAAGGAAGACCAACCTGAATGTGGCATGGATTGACTACAAAAAGGCATTTGACTCTCTGCCACATGATTGGATAATAAAGTGCCTAGAAATAACAGGAGTCAGTAGAAACATCAGAAAATTTGTGCAAAGATCGATGGCACAATGGAAGACACAGTTGCAGATCAATGGTGAGAGGCTGGGAGAGGTTAATATCAAAGAGAGGGAATTTTCAATGAGATTCATTATCACCATTACTATTTGTTATTGCACTGTTTCCTCTGTCAACAATACTGAATAACTCAGGACATGGCTATCAAACATCAAAAACATCTGCTAGACTATCCCACCTCCTTTACATGGATGATCTGAAGCTGTATGGAAAAACATCATCTGAAATAGAATCGCTGCTCAACACTGTCCGTATATATAGCCAAGATATTGTAATGGAGTTTGGCTTGGACAAATGTGCCACACTTACTATCAAACAAGGAAAAATAGTGAAAACTGAAGGAATCAAGATGCCCCACGAAAATAACATTAAGAGTCTGGATGAGGAAGAGTACTACAAATACTTGGGTATCCTTCAAGCTGACAACATCAAGCACACTGAAGTCAAGAGAGTGAAGAAGATCTTAAAGTCCAAACTCAATGGAGGAAATACCATAAAGGCAATCAACACCTGGGCAATCCCAGTCATTAGGTACACAGCTGGAATAGTGGACTGGACTCAAGCAGAACTAAAAGCAATGGATAGGCAGACCAGAAAAATAATGACAATGAATCATGCCCTTCATCCACGCAGTGACATTGACAGACTTTATCTACCAAGGCAAATAGGTGGGCGTGGAATGCTACAAGTACATCAGATGGTTGAAGAAGAAAAAATGGCTTTGGAAGAATATCTGAAGAACAATGATGAAGATGCACTGAAATTAGTATATCAGGAAGGCTTACTAACTACTGGAGAGACCAAACTGGCCTACAAGAAAGACCAAATGAAGAACAGAATAGAGGCATGGGAAGACAAAGCACTACATGGCCAATACATGAAAAAAATAGCTGGGAAAGCAGATAATAATAAAACCTGGCAATGGCTAAGAGCAGGAAAATTGAAGAAAGAGACCGAGGGACTAATTCTGGCTGCACAAGACCAAGCCTTAAGGACAAATGCATACAAAGTCAAAATTGAGAAGACAGCAACAGACAGTAAGTGCCGCCTATGCAAAGAAGCTGAAGAAACAGTGGACCACTTGGTAAGCTGTTGCAAGAAGATTGCACAAACTGATTACAAGCAGCGGCATGACAAAGTAGCAACAATGGTGCATTGGAAGATCTGCAAAAAATATCATTTGCCTGTAAGCAAAAACTGGTGGGATCATAAAATAGAGAAAGTCATAGAAAATGATAAAATTAAACTGCTCTGGGACTTCAGAATTCAAACAGACAAGCACCTGCAACATAACACCCCAGACTTAACAATTGTCGATAAGAAAGACAAAAAAGTCTGGATAGTGGACGTGGCAGTGCCTGGAGACAGCAGAATAGAAGAGAAAGAACTGGAGAAGATAACAAAATACAAAGACCTACAAATAGAAATAGAAAGACTGTGGCAAAAGCAAGCAAAGGGTAGTACCAATAGTAATAGGCTCCTTGGGTGCAATCCCAAAACAACTGGAGCACACTTGAACACATTGGCATTGACAAATTCGCTATTAGTCAATTGCAAAAGGCGGCCTTATTAGGAACTGCTTCCATCCTGCGACGATACTGTAATACCATCAAACATCCACATCTGCCTATCCCAGGTCCTGGGTAAGGACTCGATAGGTAGACAAAATGCCAA